GAATGAAAGAGGATCGTCTCTCTCTCTGCTGCTGGCCATGATTGGAGTGGATTGGATGAAAGGGGAGGTAAGAAACACAAATGGGTCGGCGTGGAGGAAGAAAAATCCGAGAAAGCGGCACTTGGGGGGGTCGCTTTTACATGGTGAAGTGTGGAATCAAGGTGTAGCGGCTGGAGAATGGCGTGATACTAGGTTGATTTGGCTGATTTTGCTCCCTTGTTTTGGACACGCGTGTGGATTTGGGCAATTGGGTTTGAAGTTCTTGAGACTTTTGCGAGACCCAAATGTGAAATTGGAGGAGTGAGGCAACAAGTGTCCAGAAAAAGGGGAAATTAAACTGAAAGAGACAGAGAGAGAGAACAGGGAAATGGGTCGTGGAGAAGAATTATTAGTTAATTTGGGGATCCTTTTCCTTAGCATTTGAATGAGCCAACTCCGGATTTAGCCTACTTTTTCCTCTTATTATTATTTTTTTCTTTTTTCGAGATTGAAGATATTGTTGACCTTTGAATGAACACGGTTAGACCAAGTATAGTTTAGTGGTCAAAATTATTTTTAACTTGCAAGCTCAAATTTTAGCTCATGATTTTGATGAAATTTAATACAAGTTTCATCCTTGAAATTTTTATGTTGCATCTTCAACTCAAAAAAAAAAAAGGAAAAAAAATTAATTTTGTGGTTTGCCAACTTGAGCAATAGCTCACAATTAGTTGGAGAATGAATTCCCACCCCTAAAAAAATATTAATAATTAAAAAAAATCATTTTCATCTCAAACCTTTGAATTGTGATCCTATTTAGGCTTTATCACTAGCTAAATAATTATGCTTTTCCATTAACTTGGTTGGATATAACAAATAAAAAGGAGAACAAAGTAAAATCTTATGCCACAAATGCATACCTCATAAGACATTTTTACTTTACTATAAATTTAAAAGTCAATCTCTCATCCCACATTTGTTAACCAAAATATAAATTTGAGATACTATATTTCCTTTTTATTTCTTTTGCAAAATAGTAATGAAATATTATCACATAAATTTAGATCATAGAATTGTCATATAGATTAAGCCAATTAATTTGTTTGAAAATTAATCATAGAAAATAACTGATTGATTCAGCTTCTGGATTTTGTAACATATTAAAAGTTAGTAACATTTTGATCGATTCAAAACTTGACTTAACATCCAATTTTGACTACAGATGGACCTTCCTTTACAATAATCAAGAAAAAATTACTCGTTCCCATACGCACGAGCATTAATTTCTCCCACCCTTAAAATTTGTCAATTCAAACATAGCTCAAAAATATGACATCTCCCCGCCTGTGACTCAAAAAAAATACCCTAAAACCGATGCTGTATTACAAATTTCCGAGGAAACACCATGGCATGGTCTCAAATTGTGACTGGTTGGTTATAAAGAATACAAACTACATCATGAAAATATAGATTAGAAAGCAAATGTATGAGAGGAGAATGATCCTACGTGAATCTTATCTAACAAAATTGGACATTTCATACAAGAAATGTATTGGCTCTCCACAGTTGAACAGCTTTTAAATGGTCAATAAATATCAGCAGATTTCACTCTCTTGGAGATTTACTTTGTAGATCGACTACTCAATCTTTAACATGTACCTTCAAAAAATTCGATTCAGAGCTTTACCCTTTCTTGCCCCCTGCTTTCTTTTCTCTCAAAGCTTGTCGTTTCTCTTCCCTGCAACCAAGTTCGAAATTAATCATAAAAATCTTTCAGAGACTACTAACTATAAGGTCACAACAACAAACTTTGAAGCCAGGATCCTACCTAGCTTTTGAGATTTCCATTCTTGAAGGGAATTTTCTTTTCTTCCTCTTTTCCGTAGCGGGCGTTGACTCTTCGCCATTTTCAACATCGTGGTTTTGCAAAACCTCCTTCCTCTTTTTACCTTCTACTTGTTCTTTGCGTGGATGAAGACATTCACCATCATTCTCCTCATTTTCACTCTTGTCCGACTCATTATCTTCTTCCATTGCCGTTTCCAATGGATCAGAAGATTCTGCAGTTGGTATCTTGTTGCTCATTTTCTTCAACTGTAGATAGGGGAAACTAACATTTAAATCCTAACAAATACAATGCGACAATAGAGTTGTGGAAGATAAATGAATGTAATAGAGTTTAACAGGATGCAAAATGAATATTGAGAGATAATGAATAATGGGTGCGGGGGTGTGTAAGCTTCCTCGACACTTAGTAGAGTGCTCCATGTGAGAAATATGTTCCTAGGTATCCCAAGTGTTTCCTGACCGTCTCCGCCGAAACATGCTTTCTCATACATGTCTAGACCATGTCTAAGGTTGTCAAAACTCTACCAAAAAACAGTATTCAAGGTTCCACAGTGTATACTAAATGAGGTATCCATTCTTTTTCTTCCTCAAGAAAACAAATCCCTGATACCCCCACCACCCAATCCCATTCAATGGGAATTGGTAAGGAGAGAGCTCAACGTATATATCCTCTTTTAATGTTGAAATATACCTTTGCCACAAAAAAACCGTCCATGTTGTGGACGTGGGGGTAGAAACGTCTTGTCTTCTCTAAGGATGGGTGAAAACGTTTTTCCCTGAACCGGATAAACCTAAAACAAACAAAAAAAAGTTAATTAAATGAGGGTATGAACAAGGACGATGGGAGTAACTTCAGTTTAAAAACTGGAAGAAAGCATGGCAGGTTACCCAGGACGTCCAAAATCAAGGCCGCATGGAACAAGTTTCACATCCCGCTTTTTTAGTGCATAATCAATTACTGCTTCATTCTGCAAGATAAGTATGTATGTCCAATTTTTAGTAGACAATATAGAATCAACAAGAAAAATAAATAACAGGATTTATTTGGATACAAACCTCATCAACAATTATGGAGCATGTGGAGTAAACAACATAACCCCCAGATTTTGAATTTGCATCAGCCATGTCAATTGCAGCAAGAATAAGTTCCTGTATGGGACAAAGAGTAAGACTTAGAAAATTTTCCTTCTGTCCAATGAAACCAAAGTAGTTGACAATATGCAGTACACATAAGAACGAATTATACCTTCTGCAACTTGGAACATTTCTGGATTTCTTCTACGCTTTTTGAGGTTTTAACAGATTCATCCTTAGATACAACCTAACAAATAAACCCAAGATTCAGTTTATCAAACAATGATGGAAGATAAAATGGTATCATTGCAGAGCAAGAAATGAAGTAATTTTTTCTTATCTCGACAATGTGATTTTTCTATTTTTAGGGTCATGCTTTTAAAACAATCTTTCAGGGGAATAAACTTACTCCAGATCCACTGCAAGGAGCATCTAATAGAACTCTATCGGCCGTATTCGTGCCCATTACTTTCGGGAGCTGGATGAGAATAAAAAATAAAACGAAAGAAATTTTAGTGTGGGCTTATATCGTTGTAGCACAAATCATCCAGCAGCTTATTTTCCCCAAAATATAATTTTATAAAATAAGATTTGATATTGCATATTTAGACCAAGCCTAACTATAATGGAAATTCTAAAAGACATAAAACTATAAATTGGAAAATAGTAATGGTGGTCTGGTGGTGGTAAGAATAATGATAATCGGACCTCCTTCCCGTCGTAGCTACAGACAACAGTATTTGTCACTCCCATCCGATGTAGATTTGCAGTGAGAGACTTCAGTCTTGGTGCTTTCATCTCATTGGCAAATATTATTCCTGAGATAGTTGATCAATTTAAGAGAAAAATTGAACCTCAAAATATGGAATTTCTACATTATAATCAACAAAAGAAAACAAAAAAAAAGTTAATTAAGGATGCAGCAAAGAAGGCACATCCCATAATAAAATATAAGCCATTTATTTGAGGCTTCATAATGTGAAACTGTAGCAAGCAATTGGACAAATAGTTAAAGCAACATTCATCAGCCTAATCAGATAAAATACTTCCAAAATTACGTTAAAGTTAACATTTGTTAGCTGACGGCAGAAAAATAGTTGAGATGATTGTAAGTCACTACTTCCAATATGCTAAACTCATCTGTATGCATAGTCATCATATTTGGAGAAGGATTTCTTAGTAGCCTCATTTTGGGCTTCAGATACAGGTTTTAAAGAAATTTGTGTTCCTATTCCTTTCATGGGTTAGACAATCAACGGTCCTCCAGATAAAGGCAATGCAACAGAAACCAAGAAAAACCTAAAATCTATACCAACTTCTTGGTTCAGTTTCAAATGAAATGTGGTTTTCTTTCTTTCCTTTCTTTTTTGTTTGTAGAACTAGTAATTCAGTTCGGTTCATGGATTTCTTGTAGTTGCTAAGACCAACTTGAACCATGCACTAAAGAGAGGAGAGCACATACAAAGATAGCTACGAGAAGGCAGATCTTTCATTCTATTTCTAATTGCAACACCTTTTGGCTATTTACATACACTTGCAATCAAGTTGAGATTTTAATCCAGTAGGTGAACTTATATGATTCTTCGTTGCCTTTTGCCATTTCTTGGAGAAGCTAAAACTAGTACCCATAAAACTTGAACATGCATGCATCCATTTTCATAGCAACTTAAAATCAAGAACTGAATTGGTCCGAACTGAACCGAACAGTTATATTTAAAACTAACATGTAGTCCTCAGATTGGTTTAATCTAGTTGTCCTTATATATAATTGTTTTTCTATCAGTTTGTTCTGGGTTGGTCAAAAACTGACCAAGGATAACTGAACCCAAACACACCCCTACTACAGGCCTCTTTCTGCAATACCCTATATACTTCGAGTAGTTATTGTTTCCTATGAGAATATTATATTTTCATTTACTCTATGCAAAGACGTTGGAGAATGGCATGATTAGCAGATTACTTCAACCACTAGACCATGTATATGAACTTGGCATTCCAAGATAGATTCTAGATAATTGTGTCCAAGAAGCACAGGTGAGTATATGTTTAACATCAACAAAACTTAATTAGATATAACGTACCACTATTTTTCATGAGTGCTGCTATGTAAGTAGTTTTACCACCAGGAGCAGCCCTGCAATAGAATCAAACTCTCAAAAAAAAAGACATTGACAAATTCAATTTACATCGATACTATACTACTGTAATGTGTAACAAATTGCTAGTTGCTGCTTTTTGGAATCAAGGAGCCATTCTTTTAACCCGAAGAGTAAAAAGTACAAGGTTAAGCCAATGGCCATGAACTAGAAATAGAGAATAAATTTTGATTAGCTTACTTATCAGGATATGACATCCTTTTCATTAGTTTATAAGAAATCACAATAAAATATGAGGGAGAAAACACAGGCAGTGGTGAGAAAACATTGTAGAACTACTTATTCACTTACGCCATGTCAATGATTCGTTCCTTTTCCTGAGGAGCAAGGGCCATCACAGGCAGAAAGGAGCTTGCACCTTGTAGCTGTACAAACAAGGCATACATATTCACTACCTAAAGTAATGAGGAATGGATTAGAGAGATAATATAATTAGTACACAGTTTACCATGTAAAAACCTGCCATATATTCAGGAGTTGCTCCAATTGGCACTTGGGAATCATATACAACAAGTCCAACCTGCAATAAATGTAGGAAATATAACTACTTGGTTTTGAAACAGGAGGAAGAGATAATAAATGATAAATTCAACAGAAAAGAATCACCCCACCTTTGACCACTTGCTTAATGGATCCAGGTTCACACCTCTATTAATCAGAACATCTGCCAAATCCCGCCTTCTTGTCTAGGAGCAGAGAAAAGTATTTGAAAAATACAGATTATAAGAAGCCCCATATGACAAACAGAGATACCATATGTAACTTACCTTTAAGGTGTTAGTCCGCAAACATATTGGTCTAGGCTTTTCAAAAGCTTCAATAAGTTCCATTAGCTCAATAACTGGAAACAACTGAAGGCAAAGCATGTGGATCAATAACTTCTCTATATTTTACCCCTAAAACTAACATTTAAGAAAGTAAATACAAATGAGTGATTACCTCCATTAGAACCCCAGTAAGGAATTCGTTATAGCCATAGTATGAACCTATGTCTTTCTTAAGTTGCTCAACATAATCCTTCCGGGTTGCTCCCTCTTGCCTCAAAGCCTTGAAATTCGTAAGCACTCGAACAACTAGATTTACATTTCAACAAGCATGGGGTAACATAAGTACAGGAGCTAGGGAAAAGGTACAAATTACAGAGAAGAGACGAAATAAAAATGCATACTCTCTCTTATCCGCCTTTGTAAATTTGAAAGGTCAGGAGGCCTAAGCACTTCTTCTTCAAGTTCCTGGTAACGAATATATATCAGAAACAATTATAGAATACATATTAACCGAGTCAAATTCAAGTAAATTAAGCAGAAACGCAACCTCCTTAATTGGTAATCTGAACTCATCGGATTCTTCTCTAATATTGAGCTTCATTTCATCCTCTGCTTCTTTCTCTACCCTCGCCCTTTCTTCATCGATGGCTCTTGACTTATTTACGATATCGTCTTCATCGGAATCAGAACCCGAAACTGATCCCGAACCTGATCCCGAACCATTCTCTACAATGAAAAACCATACAATTCAATAAAAGCAGCAAAAGAAAAAATAACCAGGGAATAAAATAATTAACAGCCCACCAAAAAGTAACCACCTTCGTCGCTTCCTTGGAGGAAATCATCGGCCAAGGGATCATCACCATCAGAAGAAACTTCAGAACCAGACCCAAATCCGTCATCATCATCAAGCACTCCATTCTCAACTTCTGCATCGCCTAGACCATCAGAAAGGTCAGAATCATTCTCCTCCTCCTCCTTAGACCGCTTTGCCGTAAAGAGCTCTTCCTTTTTCTTTGTTTTTGATGGTGGGTCGTTCCGTTTCACACCCTTCTTCTTGTTGAACTTGGCGGCAGCCATTGAAGCCACTGAAGGTGCTGAATTTTTTAACTCAAAGAAACCCCACTGGAACTACAAGCTACAAAGTGAAAAAGAATGAGATATAACGAAGAAGCTGAAAATTATTGTCACTAATGTTGTTTTGGCAACTGAATAATTGGGGACTTCGGTTCCGGTTTTCTTTTTATTTTTAAAAACACCGATAAACATAATAGGTGTTCCACCAGGATCGGCAAAAATAACTAACACCAACGTCAAATATCCAAACACAAATTTAAAACATCAATTTAAAATAACTACACTGGAAAACACTGGTAAAGTTTCATAAATACAACCGTCCACAAATTTTCAGCAAAAACCAACATAGAAAAATAATCCCAAATCTCTAATTCGAACAACAAAAACAGTCCCAAAATCGCCAGCCCACGAAAACACCGAAAACAGTAGCAAAAACTACTAAATTTCAGCAAAAAATATATATATACATTAAAAAACAGCCTCAACTTCAGCCGACTCACGGCTGCCTCTACGGTAATCCAATTTTCTTTAAAAATAAAAAAGAAGCAACCCAATGACCCAACCCGCAAATTTTGGATTGGATTGGGTTGCTTATTTAATTCGGTTCTATATATCGGTTCGCTAGTCTAACCAAAAACCCCTAACCCGACCCACCCGTGAACACCCCTACATTTTTTTTTCTCTTCCTGTTTTTTGGGTTGACGAATCATTTTCAAAATTTACAATCTAATTTCGATCAACTCCTAAACGAAATCCTAAGCAATAATAAACCCAATATGGCAGGAAAAAAAAAATCCCCCATATTGAAAATTATCTAATCAGATGAAAGAAAACTACGAAAATCGTATTGGGCAAGATTTGAAACAGAACATGGTGAGGTTGGGTTCGATTGCCTCTCTTTTTTTAAACTATATTGCCAAAAAAAAATAAAAAAATCACTCACTGTCAGTTATGAATGGGAGGGACGATGGTGGACGGTGGAAGAACAGCGGCGACGGCGATAGTAGATGGACAGCCGCGATGAGGACAGAAACCAACAGGAACGGCAACGGCAACGGCAACGGTGAAATCGAGATTAGGGAGAGAGCAGAGAGTGATCGAGAATCTGGAGGTGGAGGCCGTGAAATCGAGAACCTGGAGCCGGAGGCAGAATTGGCGGCAGTTAGAGAATCAAACCTAATTATTTTCATCGGGCTCGACTTGATGGGCCTGTAGTTCGAAAATGGGCTGGGTTAACCAGAATTGGGTTGAATTTCTTGGGCCTGGAAAATTGGTATATATTTTAGAAATTCTCCACGTCATTCTACAATTAATATTTCACAAATTTCAAGCTTAATGATTATCTAGGGAAGGTTTGATCGATAATTGATTTCTTAATATCAGATTCATTGAATCAAAGTAGATTTAATGAATATGAGTTCAACGGATTTATTTTTTAAAACTGTTTTTGAATTCTGATTAAATAGTATAGATTTTAAAAATAACATTTTTATGTCTGTAGTATTTTCAAATTTTGAATTTGAAATTTTAAAATCTAGAATTACACTAAAAAGATAAAAACTTTGATAAATATATTATTTTGGCCCGTTTGATAACTATTTTTGTTTTTCTTTTTTTATGTTTTATGGTTTTAGTTTTGTGTTTTTCAAAAATAAAAACTATATACGTTTGATAATTTTTTTAAAACAATAATTTTAAAAATAAAAAAAATAATTTTTTTTGTTTCTTAAAAACAAAAAACAAAACATGGTTGATTTTTAGTTTTCTGTTTTTAATTTTTTTTACAACTAGTTTTTTATTTATAAAAAGTTAGAAAATTGGAAATATATATTAGAGAGAAAATTTTAACTAGGTTAGAGATGACGATAGCGTGGGTGGGAGTGAAAATGTACTATCTCATTTTCGTGCTCGTGAAAATTTTTAATCTACCATCTTCACCTCGTTCTTCGGTTTGGGAACAAAAACGAGGTTAGAGAATATTTATTTGAGGACGGGATATTAATGGGAAGAATCAACGGCTTTGTAATAAATTTTTAATTATTTTTAGAATTTTATAAATGTGTAAATATATATTAATTATTTTTAGAATTATTATTTAATATTATAAATAATTAGTTTTAAGAAATATTTAATATTTTATACACAATTTACTAAATATATTAATAAAATATATATTAATTATTAAAAAAATGGAATCAGGGGCGGGGTTGAGACATGCATTTTCTATTCTTTGAGCATGGACCTAATCCTACAAAATTTTTGGGATTAGTATATTGATCAGTTATTTAATGATCCTAATTACATAAGGATGGAATGTATAGAATTTACAACCCTATTTAAGAGGGTACCCAGCATATAAATTACTTAAATAGCTTCTTGTATTTACAAATTAATTTTAAATTCATTTTAATATGCAAAATTGATTAATTGGAAAGTTATAATTTAGATCCCATAATTTTAGGTTAATGATACTTTCCAAAACAAATTAAAACACCAAAACATTAAAAACAAAACCCTAAATTCCCCAAAATTGAAATGATAACCTCCCAAAATATCTCCAAATCCCGTCCAAAAATCTCCCAAATTCGAAATCTAAGAACTTTTTTCGCTTCATCCATGAGACGTTTAAAACTTCAGTTTTGGAGGACCCTTTCTACATTACTATAGGATATATTCGTTTATATCTTGTATACATCTATAAGATATATACACATATAAGATTTATACACATATACAATATATACTTATATATGCGAATATAATCGGGAGTACTAAGAATATGAGACATTTAGAACTTCAATTTTCTATACACATAAACAAAATATATTCCCATATATACAAATCTTAACGGAAGACTAATAATTACAAATGGTATGGAGGATCATTTCTACATAACTATAAGATATATGTATACACATATAAGATATATTCACATATACAATATATATGAATATAATCAGGAATACTAACACTGTGAGACGTTTAGAACTTCCATTTTCTGTACACATACATAAAATATATCCTCATACATACCAATCTCAATGGAAGACTATTAAATACCCATGGTATAAACAGAAGGGGACAGTAGACGAGGAACACGTTGCACGACGTCGGAAACGTCCAAAGACGTTGACATAAAGTTTATTCAGCGACAGAAATTGAAGGTTTGGATGTGTCTGTGGAAGAAGAAATCAATACCTCGTTGATTTGGTGTACAATGAACGGCGTTGGAAACGTGCAAAAGAAATAAATACCTTGTTCATAAAAGCCCTGAAGATGGAAAATGAAGGTGTGGCAGCCGACGTCTTTGCACCTTGGAAACGAAGACAGCGGTGAAGAAAATCGGCTTTGCACGGTGGCTGGAGAAAATCGACAGCAAACGAGAAAAGAGAATCGGCAGCATTTAATTCATTTAACAAAATTGGAAGTTGTTAATTGGTGAGAGAAAAAAATCTTTTTTGAATGAGAGATTTGAGGAATTAAGGTTGAAATTTTGAATGGGGCTCACAAGAATTAAATGAATATAATTACAAATTAAGAATTCAAATCTTTAAAATTTAAAAATTATAATAAAATAAAAAGCAATAAATAAGGGTAGAAACGGTATTAAAATAAAATCCTAACTGCAAATATTAAAAGTGTAAATTTTGAAACCTAAACACATTCATGTAATTAAGATTTCAAAATAGCCCTCCCAAGATATTATCTCAAAATTTTTTGTCATTAGATGGATGAAAATAAACTTTTTAAAGACAAGTTTCTGAGAGATAAAGAAAAAGATTTAAAAAAAGAAAATTAGTGAAAGAAAATTCAAAAACACAAATAGACAAATTTTAGAAGGAAAAAAAAAAGTAAAGTTGGGAGAAAAAGATACGTTAAAGAAAAAATATATTAAAAAGAAAAAGATAAATTTAAAGATAAAAACAAGATTTGAAATATAAATAACTAAAAAGATAAATAAAAGTTATAGTGAAAGATAATTGAACGAGAAACTAATATATAAATTTTAGGCGAAAAAATATATTAAGAACAAATGAAAAGTTTTAGAAAACGAAATTGTAGAGAGAGAAAAGTTCGAGAGAATATTAAAGGTCTAGAGAGAGAAATTAGAGTGATCTTGTTATAAAAAAAAAAGAAAATAAATAAAAGTATATAAAGATGAAAATTTTGGAGAGAAATAATTATAAATATTTAAAATATGAAAATCTTAGGAAGAGAGAAATAAATTTGTATAGAGAAATTTAGGAAGAAAAAATTTTTAAAGTGAGAAAGAAATTTGTTAGAGATAAATACGAGAAAGAAAAAAAAAATTGAGTATTCAAAGAAAAAATTAGATTTTGAAAAATGGGAATCCGTTTTTTAAAACTGTTTTTTTTTTTAATTTACCTAGAATTTTAAAATTGTTTTCAGCCAACAAAATATCAAACCACCCCTTCATAGTATAAACTGATTTCATTTTTGTTAAAAAAAATATAATATATTATTTATTATACTGTAAAATAATAATTACACAAAATTTATAACAAAAATGTTAACAAATTAGTTAATATTATTTTAGATTAAATTAAATATTAGTTATAACTACTACTCATTTATAAATATATTGTTAAAACATTTTTTTTTTTAAATTGAGATTCAATTTTCAAACATGTTGTCAAACACATATTTGAAAACTACAACTCTATTATTTTATTGAATTCATCGTTTTCAAAAAAAAAAAATCATTTATCACCAATTAAATATACAAGACGAAAGATACTTGCTCCTCAAAATAAAGATTATTTTTAAAATAATAATGAATTATGGAATGATAAAACTTGGCTCCTAAAGATTCAGAACCACAATGCTCCATTATGAGATGACCTAATAATAAGTTAACATAGGTTGGATGTGAGGCTTTTCTAATATTTTATTAAAATTCATGTGTAATTATGTTTGTTTGGGAAAAGAATACCTTGGACACGTGGAGGACCCCTATTGGTTCTCCAAGATGACTTATGAGTCATGCCCAGCTCGGACGGCCGAGATCACCACCGTTAGCGTTGATGGATGCCAAGTATGAGGGCCGAGGTGAACCTGGCCAAGGTCCGACCTACCGAGAAGCTCGGTAGGGGCCGATGTGAGCTGCTGTCAGCGGCGTGATTATCGGGTGTAACCGACGGTCCCGAGATTGGCGGGTGTAACCGACGGTCCCGAGATTACCGGGTGTAACCATCGCGAGATTGGCGGGACTACCACTCATAAGTAGAGGACCTCACTCCACGATCAGGTACGATGATTTCTGACCTCGAACTAAACTAAGAGTCCGACCTGTACTGACTTGATCGTCGGAGTGCTCACCTTTTTGTGCAGGTCCGCCCAAGTATTCAGATCGGTCCGGGGGCCGAGTTCGAGCTGTAATCGGAAATACACTGTTGTGCATATCCTTGCATAAACAATGTTGATACGTAGAGATTAATATTTGCATTATAATCTTTTCAATTTTTGTTTTAGTTATTTCGTATTTTTTTCTACATATATCTTTCTTGCATTTTCTTAATTTTCTCAAACAACGGTGTAGTATGTCAACATTTACGGTGACTCAGTGTAGCAAACTGTATTTCCAGCGACTCACTCTATAATTATCTATTATAGTATTCCAACAAATACTTATGTTTTATTCCATCCATGAGTGTTTTCCTTTTCTATATATTATTTGTTTTGTTAATTAAAAATACCTCATATGGCCACTTATGTAAATTTAATTGAGCTCCCTCTTAAGACTCTTCACAAAAGTGAATAATACTTTCGATATGGGGACAATTCTGAATTATCTATACTATATAAATTGGGCTATAGAGGAGAATCTTTATCTTCCATTTTTATTATCGATTTTTTAATATATATCCATTTTGTCTTCCATTTTTACTCTTGTATATTATAATCTCTACCTCATATGTTTGTACTAAAAAATGTTTTTGCAAGTTGGTAACCATTCACCTTAAGAAAAAAGGAAAGAAAAAAAAAACCCCAGGAGTTCATTAAATAAGTTACGTTGTTATTACATAATAAAAACTAGGAAAAAATATACTTTTGATCCCTGAAATTTGGGGTGAGTATCTATTTGGTCATTGAGATTTTAAAACGGACACTTTTGGTCATTGAAGTTTGGA